TATTTTGAATGCATTGTCTTCAAATTTGAAAAAAAATATGTTTTATGGTAGAACTTCAAGTAATCCCGACAGACCTTGAACTTCACTCATAAATGATCTTGCCATGGAAGGACAAATTATTAAAAATTTCATTTTTTTGCTGTAACAGGCTATATGTATATCATACGGAAATTTACATTGGCTATTTAATGACCTTGACCTTGAAAGTTAAATTATTGAATATTCACTGATCTTTGCTATAGTAAACTGTATAGTCCTTAAATTGACTTTTACTGTCAAGGTCAAATTAATGAAATTTTCTTGTTTTTTTTTCAACTGGCTATAACTTTCTAATTTGTAAAGGGATAAATTTCTTATTTAGACACACCTTTCAATTCAGGACATTCATGTTTATCAACCTCAAATTGACCTTGATTCATGTATGACCTTGACCTTGAAGTCCAAATTATTTTGTTAACACTGATATTGGCTATAAATGAATGTTACTTGCAATTGATCAATGTATTATTTTCATACTTGCACTAAATAACCTTTTGGACAAGACTATCTAAAAAATTGAACTGGCCTTGGGCTCTAAATGACCTTGACCGCCAAGTGCAAAGAATTGAATTGTGGCTAAGTTGTCCTAACTTTGTTATTTATGTATGAATGTGGACAAAACACCACTTGTGACCAAAAAAATATTAAAGAATATTTCAGATATGTCATTGACCATTAAATGACATTGACTGACAATTGATTGAGCTTTAATTATATTTTCTTAACTTTGGTGTTTATTTATGGAAAGAATTCATACTTGGACAAAACAGCAAGTGTGGCCTAGAGAGGCAAATTAATTTTTAAAAAAAGAAAAACCTATTTTTTTTATCTATAATTTTCTTTTTAAAAGACTGTTAAAACTGTTTATTTGTTGGCTTTCAGAAAATAGTAAAATAGTCGAAAGTTACCCTTCCACGTCGGTTACTGTTTTTTAAGCAATTTTTCAAGTTGTTTCTGCATGATGATATTTGTATGATTTAAATGACAGTGTTTTTTTTGGGGGGGATGGGGGGGGGGGGCTTGTAAAAAACCAAGCCATCATTTAAAATTCTTATAAATTATTTATTGTTTTGAATTATTCAAAATGCATAAATGTTCACTTTCAGATTTTTAAAATCCCTTTTAACTTTTTACCATATTATTTTTTGTTTTGCAATTTTGACCTTTCTTCTTAATTAACAATTTTAATAAATCATTTACACTGATCATACCTGACTTATTGTTTTATAAGAATTTCATAAATCACTCTGGAAGAAATTGTGACATTGTTTTGTCATGAATTCACCATCACTGATACTTTATCCTGATGAAACACTGATTATATGCATATTACTTGAAAAAATATCTGACCATGTTTTTGAAAACTATCCAGGCTATATGTACATGGGAAAATAATAACTTGAATATCAGTTTGGTAATAATTATATTATAATCCCCTAAAATGAGCATGCTTTTCACATGCCATCCCTAGATTGAGCATGCTTTCCATATGCCTTATAAGTAGATAAAAAGAATAATGCAAAGTTATTGTTTAGTAGAGGATAATGTTAACTACTTCCAGCTTCTGCTTCAGTCAGTAGTGTACTCTTAAAATTTATAAACTTTTTAAAGTCTAATTACATGTCCTTAGTTTCTACATGGTTTCACTTGAATTGCCGGTGTGAAGGTGGTGGTGTGAAGGTGGTGGTGGTGGTGTGAAGGTGGTGGTGTAGGTGGTGGCTGCGGTGGTGGCGGCGGCGGCGTCGGTGGCGGTGGTGGTGGCGGCGACTGTGGTGGTGGTGGTGGCGGTGGTGGTGGAGGAACAAGAGATAAATAGAAGACAGATCCTGTTCCTGTGATAAAATATACGCAGAAAAACATATTCTTTTTTTACACACTCATATCAAAATCTGATTGGCTGCTATTTTTGGCATGACGTTATTTATCTATTTATGTTATTAATAGTCACGTGACCAAAATCATTGGTCAAATAATTCTTCTGTCTGATTGGTTACATTCAGTCCGTAAGAAAAGAGAAACTGCTGTTAGATTGGACAATGTCATTTCTAAATTTAGATCAGCGCATGCGTATAATGTATCACAGTGGTGACTTCAGTCATTTGGTGATTGAATGTCAAAGAGTAAACATCATTACGCATTAAGTTGAGTTTATTTTTCAAGTACATTATTTTCAATGAAGAATGTTTAATAGAAATAGAGCGTTTATGCATTAGTTTTAGTCCGTATTCATAAAGAGCGCCTTAAAACATTTCGTACAATACCAAACATGACCGGGTTATATTGACTAATGAAGGCGTACGTAAATCCACATTTTACGCTTGAGTGATTAAACTTCATTTTTCGGGCCCTATCCGAGTCAGCGATACAAAAGTATACATTTTCTGAATCTAGTGAGTAATACCTTTCGTTCGATACAGGTATTGATAAGATCGGTCTGTTGGTTGGGGAGAATAAAATGAATTTCACGCACGAGTGACTTAACATCCGGTCTGATCGCGTGACTAAGATATACTCGCCAATACTTTCAATTAGATACCAAACACGACTATATTTCGTTCATAAACGAAAATGCTATGCGCGTTTTTCTGCATGAGTGATTTTGTCTGCCAAATTCAAACTCTCCTATCTCAGAAACGGTAAGAGATAGATCCATATAATAATACATTTCCTGAATCTACTCTGAGAGATCTTTCAAAAGGTAAATACATCTAAGGGTTTTATGGAATTTCATTAAACATGTCGTAACTTGTTATAAATAGTTAGTAAAGACTGGGGTAAGCTTATTTTAGTTATTTTAATGATTTTTACGCATGAGTGATTTCACTCTCGGTTTGACAGTACGAGCTTGTAGCATTTGTCAAGACCTTTCGTTTGATATGCAACATGCCTATGTTATGTCAAGTTACGAAAAAGTTATACGTATTTATACGCATGAGTGATTTTATCTGCCATATTTAAACTCTCCTATCTCAGAAACGGTAAGAGATAGATCCATATAATAATAAATTTTCTGTATCTACTCGCAGAGATCTTTCCATTAGTACATAAATCTTAGGGTTTTATGGACTTTAAAAAAATTGTTTAAAAACCGCTTAAGGGCCATAACTCAAGAACGGCTAAAAATCAAATCGAGAACCTGGGGTTTATTTCGAAGCATTCTGGCAGGTCTATCATTTGATGGAAAAAAAATCAAAATGTATATCGTAAAATGTTGCACAAAAGACGAAAAAACGCATGTTTATGTTAAAATTTTATGCATGTTTTGCTGAGAAAAAAAATCTTATAACTTTCCACCCATGAAAAATGTAATTTTTAACTGTTGTACTGGCTTTTTAACTTTCAATTTGTTTAATGAACGCAATTTGATTACTTTGTCGGACACGCACCAGGTAAACCATTTACGCCTCAATGCCATTTAATGACTTTTTCTAACATTGATGGATGGCCGTATAACGCTTGAACGCAATTTAATTGCTTTTCAAACAAAAATAATTGACCGTCAATTCTATTAATCTTTTGTGATAAGCGGACCGAACTTTGATTAATGAAAAGCTATATTTAGTAACGAAGGATAAAGGGTTTTTGTTCAACATAGTTCCGCTAGGTATTGTGAATCAAGACTGAGCGGCGACTGTACTTAATGCCTTTTTCTTTCATTGACACCTGCGTGAAGCTGGTGAAATAGCTCCTAGTGAATGTGAAATACCGCGACTAAAAATAAATCAGCACATGCGCAGTCTACAAGAACGCTACGCCATGACAGTCATTTCCTTACTAGATGTTGGAGAGTAAACAAGTAATATTTTACAAATATTAAATATTATTTATTTTGAACATATTAAAAAACTATTTGTTTTTATTTAAATTTATAAATTAAAATAATAAGCACGTATCTATTTACAAACATTTCTTTTATCTGTAATGATGGTAATTATCTCTCCGTCTAGGGCCGAGGACCTGACCTACAATGTCCACGATTCAAGCCCTAGTTCGGGTATACGAGTCAGCTCCGTATACTTCCGGTAGATTAAAAATAGATTTCTAAAAATAGACGGATGATCATATTCTAAAAATAGAACGATGATGTCATTCTTAAAACTAGAATCCAAAATGGCCGCCGCGCATGCGCAGTCGTGGGGCTAAAGAGGGGCCTATACTACTATTTCGGTTTAAATATGATATGAAATAAACAGTTTTCAAACAAAAAAGGAGCAAACGCTCAAATCTGGCAGAAAATTTGACCTTTCAAATGATCAAGAGCGATATAATGACATATACATTGGTCAATACAATCAAAAATGCAGTGCTTTCAATGTTTTGATTTTAAATGTCACAGAGTTCTTGTGATAACTCTGAAGATGCCCTTAGAGTTCTTATGATAACATTCGCTACCGCTAATTTGACTAATTGACTCCTAAAATACGCTGAAATGTGTCGTAACTTAGCACAAGAAACACAATGGCGATAATAAAAGTTGTCATAAGAATTCCAGGACATCTTCAGAGTTACCAAAAGAACTCCGTGACAAATAGGGTATAAATTTGTTAGCTGGGGCATTATGTTTGCAACTTTCCATTACTAGTATATTAGCAAAATAGGTAAATAAGTATGGCAACGAAAAAAGTCACAAATGGACAGGTCACGAGTGTATCCTCGGTATATAAAAAGTTTTCCGACGAATCCGTAACGTTTTCAAGGAACTCCGTAACAGTTTTCATGAGAAATCCGGACAAGTAATATATCGTAAGAACTTCATCCTGCGTGTAACAGTTCCTCCCCCGTGATACTGTCGATCGCTTACTTTACTCTGCTAAGTACATGTATAAGTATTGTTACATTTTAGTTCGTGTTTTTATTAATCAAAGACCATTACCGATACACAAATTCAGAAGGTGAAAAGGTATTAAAATCCTGTCAAAGTGCATCTTATCAAGTTATTATGAACTTAAAATCAAACTTACCGTCCCTCTTAGAACGTAAACTCTGTATAGCCTTTTCAAGAACATCTGGAAATATAACGTGAGAAAAGCTAAACTTCACCAAAATGGCGAAAATCAAACAGTTTAATCCATGCATCGTGTTTCTATAAAACGCATTTATAAAAACGGACGCTGGTTTCACACTGGCTAGCAAATCCAAATGTTCACTTGTTTCTCGTACATACAATGTATATATATCTCAAATTACTTGAATACCTGGAAATCAAATTACTCCAATACTTGGAAAACAGGATGTGATTTTATTAGGTCGAGTGTTTCAAGAGCTCACTAAGACAGCTGAAAGCCTGTGGTATTAATAAACAATTCATGTCTCTCTATAAAGTACTAGATTCTATGAATTAAAGATTCTTGGAAAAGTTAAAAGTGTTGGAAGGGTTTAGATTATGTAAAATATAGTTCATTTTTTTATTCTAGATGAAAGCTTTACATTATCTTCTTTCGCACAAATAATATAGAATCAGTTGTACAAAAATGTGTGCAATAATCAAATACACAAATATATACACAAATATGCACACATTATTATTTACACAAATATAATTATGTTCAAATTATATATTGCACACAATTTACTACATGTATAAATAGTGTTAAAGACAACAGTTAGCAAACTATTCAAACTAAACGAAAAAATTTAATTTTATCTGTCAAAATTTGAAATTTTATAATCAAAAAGCCCTATTTAACAAGTTTCTAAGTTTCGTAGACTTCCAGACTATCAAAAATGCTTGTGTATTTCACTATCTATTATAATGTAGAGTGTATTTAATATCGTTTACCTTCGTGAAAACACAGTTTCCATTCCCCATAAAATTAATTTACAATTTTTTAACGTTTGCTTTACCGATATAGTGGTCGACAGTTGAATAAACACTTCTATTGGTTCATATCAAACATTATTCCCAGGTTGGAGTGTTTGTCAAAAAAGAACCAACGTTTTGTGTATATTGCACAAGATTTCACGAAGAAAACGCCATGCTAAAGTGCTTGAATATTTAAATAAGTAAATAAATAAATAAATAAATATTAATTAATTAACTAACTAACTACTTAATGAATTCAATAAACGAATACATACATAAATAAACAAGTCTAGATATTGTAAAATAATTTCAAAGAATTATATAAGACTAATGTCATTTATTGACTAATCAATTATTAAATGTATGTATTATCTACAACTGTAACTTTATAACAACATACTTTTCTCAATTATACATTATATCCGCCATACAGTTGTGTATTGGCGATGAACATTCTATATATTTATGCCAAATAAATATTGAATTGAATTGAATTATATATAGTAACGGTGTCTCTACGGGACTTTGACTCTACGGGACCAAAAGCAGGAAGTTGACATGGCAGGCATGCGTCTAACCAATTGGCACAGAAGAAATTGTTCACCGTATATTCCAAGTGAGGAAAAAAGAAAGAGCCATATCGAGGGTTCAAAGGTTAAAGGTAATAACTGCCATTTTATAGATTTCGAGAAAAACGCAAAAAAACATATATTTTAATACAACTTTAATTTCCGGAATATTTTTATAAAAATTTTGATTCTCCCATATTTGTTGACTACATTAGATCATATTTTGTTAAGTTTACCTTGCTTGGTGCTGATAAAACACTGTAATTATAGTTTGTTTTAAATTTCTAAGATCAAAATAATATCATTTTACAGAAGTAACAGGTAATAAATGTACTTAGATCCTGTCAAGACACAAGGTTGGGAGGTAAATGGTTATAACTGCACTTACGCTCTTTCACTTCTGAAGGTTAAGCAATAAAAGTTCCAGATAAGTTGTGGTAAAAGGTTATAAGTGCAGTTATAGCCTTGTTCCTCTGAAAAAAAATTAGATGATGCTGTTATTGTTACTATTGCAAATTTATTAATTATGCTATACTTTGAAGAACCTAACGTAGTGTCATTAACACACATGCACAATAATACGCGTACTCAAAATTGACAATTTTCATTCATAGATATATGAAATATGTACCTGCCCGATATTTAAATTCTACAGAAATAAAATGATAACTAAAAAGTTATGAAAATACGCACTAAAATTTTAGTTTACAAATTTTCATTTATTTTGAATGTTCTCTGGTATATAACCGAACTGAAGTCAAACAAACCCCAGACATCAGCAATTAAGGAAATTAGTGATCCATATCATAGTTAAGTAAATAAACACTACTGTTTCATGTCACAAATTGTGAATGTTTGTCATTAATTATTCCATGACCTTCACTCATCTTCTTCACTCTCACTAACAGAAGGCACTGGAAGTTTGTCTTTTATAGATTTGCTGCATGGCAATGACCCATAGTATGATTCGCACTCCTTCAAAATTGTCCCAGAGGCAACAAGTAACATCAAATCAGCTTTTTTGCAGCAGATATTGGAAGCTTCTCTGTATAAGCCTTTCGAGGAGCCTTAAGAGACTATTCTTTGCTTCTGTTCTTCTTCTGCATTAACCTAACTTCCTTGAACTCACTAACATCAAAACCATAGCTCACAACAATACTGTATTAACTTGAATACATTTTATATTCAGCCAATTAACACGTTCACCATCAACGTCGATTTTCATTGAGCAAAAGTTTTGTTCTTTGTACAACTTGTAATCTAGTATATCATTGTATTTTATTGGAACGATAATATATGGTTGCTACCGGCGTGCTAATGATACAACTGTTTTCCACTGAGATGGAACATGAACTATTGTGAGGCTTTTTGCATGCTCGATAGATGTATGTATGGAATAACATTCCATTTCTGAATGGCCACTTTCGAGACATTTGTGTTTCCATGATAACCGCCGTATGAACACATCTACTTTTTTTCTAAATTCAAATTTCACCATTTTCGTGTTAAATGTTGAATTCTGCTTAAGCCGGTGCCAGGGGTTGTGGACGGTAACTTGCACTTTCCAGTACCGTCCATGAACAGGCTCAATCAAACCGAGCCTGCAATATTTTCAATTTTGTTGTTTGACTATTTTTATGGATTCTGTTTTTCTCTATTTTATACACTTGATGTGAGGAATATCTTGGACACAGTGAACTAAGCAACTTGCAACAAACTGATTGCACTTCTGTTCTCCACATGCATTACTATATAATGTCACTTCTTCAATACCAGATGTCTTACTTGCAACAGAAGTTACATACAAATACTCAAAAGTTCCTACTTCGCACGAGCCTCGTTTCCCCATGTGTCTCATCCCACAGATAACAAGTCCCGTTACCATTTCCCAGTTCATAGAATGACAAATTGCAACAACACAGTTTTCTTTTGTAATAAAGTTCACCAATTAAACTGCATGGTGATGTCAGAACAGCCTTGATTTCAAATGCCGACATAGACAACTTTGGATCTTTCTTTGTGCGTTCTTTATCGGCTGATTTTTCCATTCTAGCACTGTGTTTTTTTCTTTTTTGGTCACTTGGTGTGCCTGATATTTTGCTTTTGTTGCCTCATCTAGTCTATCTTCTATTCTCAAAGTGTCATAAGACATTCAGATTGCAGACTGGACATTGATCTTTCTTAGGATGGAAGAAATAAAGTTATATTCTGTACTGAAAATGTTTCTGTACACAGCCTCTGAATCACACCTTCTATTTTGTCCTTTGCATTTTTCTACATACAGTGAGTATTTTCGTTTTATATTTAAATCTTGCGTTAGATACTTCCTGTTGGAGTCTTCGTGTGTAGTGTGATTCAACAGTCGGAAAGCTTTCGTTGTGTTTCTTTACAAATGATTTGTGATATTCCGTGGTTTTATTTCCATGCACAGCTTTCCCTCTCTTGTCATTTCCAACATATAACCCTGCCACTTTGTGCTTAGCTACGTTTGCAACTGTTTTGGAACCAACATCGAGAGTTTTTAGAAAAAAGTATTTGCCACCAACTGTGTAGAAAAACGAATTCAAAATAATTCGTTTTGTTCTCTGTTTAGATACCTTGTCTGGTTCTTTATTGGCAACATGGAAACAAATGAATTGCCTCTGACTTATGTAATCACCCATTGACCAGTATGTACTGAATATTTTCTGTCTTTCATCTTTGGTTATATTCTCGCTGCATTTAAATCTAAAAGATAAATTTTTGGGAAAAGAGATAACAGATATAATTTATAGTGCTTGTGAACTGTATGAAAGCAGTATTCTGTCAGGGGAAAAAGGTGATAAAATCAGTTATAACCTTTTTCCACTACATATTCTTCACAACATGTGGAACAACAAGTAAACAACAGGTAATAAGTACACTTAGAACCTTTTACCCCTAAATAATTTGTAGAAAGGAAGTTATTACAAAATACTTTTTAATGTTTTGCCCTTATAAGGATTGAATATTTATACAATATTTTCGTCAGACATAAAGGACAATAAGTACATTATAAAAAACATAAAAAGTCAATTTCGGCAAAAGTGGCAGTTATAACCTTTTACCTTTGAACCTTCGATATTTAGTTTAAAAAATATCAAATCACAAAACCCAGAAAATATGCGCCAGGGTATATGATGAAAAGCTTCTGTGAAAGTTTTGTCAAAATCCCTTGAGAAATGTAGGAAGAGTTGCGCACAGAAGACTTTGTTTACACACGCCCGCGCTCGTCCGACCGCCCTAATCACACCTCAATCTAATCCCTCGGAAAATCTGCTTAAAACCCGGATTTTGAAATAATACTCTTTACTTATAGATGGAATAATATGTGAAAGGTACTCTTGTCGCTCTGAAATCTCTGTACATGGTCATAAGTGTTCATTTCTTCAGTTAAATCTGCAAACTCAACTGCTTCAACTTTGAATTCATCTGGATTGACCCATTCACATTAGATTTAAAAATGTCTGCCACTGAAAATGAAAAATTAGCACTTATAAAGGCACATTAAGCCTTTGAAATGCAATGCAATCATTTTTGTTTTTAAATAGCCTTTTTTGTTTGTTATATAGTTTCCAAAACGTTACTCGTCGGCTTCACTGAAGATCCACCTTTTGCGGTTTTTGGATTTTGGTAATGAGTTAGTATTTTGTATGGACATCAAAATACTACTATGTTTACTTTTATCACAAATAAGTTCACATTCAACACTATTTTCTTCAGCTAGGTGACAAGTAACTCACATGTTCTAAATCCATTATTACAAAGTACATTATT